TACTATAATAGATAAGTTAAATATAGATAAATAGATAAAATTCTGATATCACCTGTTAATTGTTATAAAGTAGAAGTTATCATTATGTACTCAGGACAAATTATAAATAGCGGACCACCGGGATGCTGGATGGTAGCCAGACGCGATTGTCAAGTATGACCTAACCCACTTTCAATGAAAGGTCGCATGAAATGTGGCTCATAATTTTGATAAGCAGGGCAATGAACAAATCAAATAGATAATACATGCATACACCTATCTATTTGTTAAGACCTAAGTACAATTTATACTTATGTAGTAATAAAAATAAACTATTAGCCCTTTTAGTGCCATCGATTTTTACTCATATCTACTTAAAAATGCCAAAGAAATCTTTGTCGTGTTGATGTCATTTACCCTTGTCTCCTAAAAAACTGTATCTCCTCCAAAAATTATCTAATTTTGATATTTTTTTTCCAGCAAGCTAAACAGCGACTGATTTCACAAGCGCTATGACGCTCGTGGCACTTTTAGTTGCAATGCGCACGAGCGCGAAGGCGCTCGTCGGCACTCAAAGGGTTAAAATACTAAAAAGTACGTTGGTCTCTCTTGACATCTGCCTAGAATTAATCCCTCCACGGAGCAGAAAAGGATTTTTAGTAATTGGAATGTTAGTCTCCATTGCTAGCAATATACATCATCAGATCGACCTCCACGAAGCGCCCTCTTCAATTAATGAATACATCACGACGGTCATGCCAACAACATGCTCTTCAAATAAGTTGTGTGATCCCGGCATAGAACTAGCCACCCCTTCCATTCCCGTGGCTGTCGTAAGAGGCGATTAAGAGAACTTAATGGTCGAGACATGGGCAGCGGCGTCCCTCTCAAAACATTACTGAAAGTCTAATTGCGATTGCCAACCCGCTTGCCAATCGTGACAATTACTTGCAAAACTTCCCTTATGGGAAAGGTTTGTGTTCAGCAGTGGACGGTTAACGACTGATGATGATGATGATATGATGATGATGACGTAACAATGGGCAAACTAAACTGCTTTTGCCCCTACCTACTATAGTTTATATAGTATATAGTAGCTATTTGACCCCAATACTAACAATGTCTGAGAGTACATACATATACCTTATATACCTTATTACAGGTCAAGTTCCCTCCCCCTCCCAGCTAAATATTGTTCTTAATAAGCCAATGTTCACTGATGCCCAACCGATGCATACTGTTAGCGCAGAAGAATATTTTTATTTTGATCCCATAAAAAAGTTATGTACGGTAAAAAGAAAACTTTGTCCGAGAATAAACACTTATCCCTCGTGTGCGCAAACCATAAATTGTCAATAGACAGACATATTACTACTCACCTCGACCCACTTGGGTTTGTCAACATAAAATAATTACAGTGGACGTCGTGAAGGAAATTACGGGGCTTTAGTCAAAAGACACATTATTATAATTTATGTAAACTGACTCCTCGGCCTTTTCTATATTTAGCTGATCAATGTGCAACTCAAATACTTGTTGTTTAGATCAATCCAACGGTAACCTGCCCATACTCGATGGATAATTAAGATTCCATATCAAAAAAATAGATAGAATAGAACCTTTATGTACAAAATTGTCTGCTTGTCTTATGCTGGATATCTCCCATGCGCCCTATTCGAGCAGAACAGTACAAACAAAAAACTTCCAGATTTTATTTTATATTACAGTGATAGCAAATGGTAAGCCCGTCTGATGATAAAGGGTCATTGTCGCCTATGGACGCTTAAAATGGATCTCATGTTAATGCTATGGACGCTTAAAATTGACCCTTTTTGAAAAAACCGGTTATTATTATTTCAGCTGTTAACTGCCCACTGCTAGACATAAGCCTTCCCTATATCGGGAGTTTTGCCAGCAGATGCCACGATTGACAGGCGGGTTGGCAACCGCAATTACGCTTTTAGATATGTTTTAAGAGGGACTGAGCTGAGAGATTACGCTGCTGTCCATTCCTCGCCCTCCCTTAGTCGCTTCTTACGACACCCATGGAAAAGAGGGTGTGGCTTATTCTATGCCGGGATACACACGGCGGTAAACCCATTCTATAACGTATATGGAAAATCAAAGCTCATTCCAGAGCCTAAGCGTTCGCACGTAGATAAAATTGATCTTATGGGTACAGTACACGATCATTCGGCTTCATTCAAGGTCGTGTCTTTTGCTAAAAAAAATATCTATATTTGACGACTAAAACTGTCCAAAATAATAAAACATATAGTTATATAAGTAATAAAAATTAACCAACCATTTTGCAATTTAAAAGTATTAATAAATACATTGTTAACCTCTAACAGGTATTAAATGAATGTATGGCTGTTTGGTAACCCTCGTTTCCACCTTACCTCGAAAGTTACCCTATCTAGACTCTTCCTCATACTCCTGTATGAAAAATAAGTAGAATTCTTTAAACTGTAGTCGTGCATTGTTATGTACATAGATAAAGCATAATAAATACTATCCTATATTATTCATCCATTTTTTTATATTATATTGATTCTATATCTGAGACTAGCAATAGTAACTGTCAAACTAAACACTGAAATATAGCCAAAAATTTTGGAATATTTCTTAAGATATAACACTGAAGTATTAATCAATTGGTAGAATAACAAGGGCTTATCGTACAAAGCGCCATCTGTCGTTTTACATCATTGATTTATCTCCAACCGATCCCATTTAATTAATGTTTAAGGTGATTGGTCAGGAAACAAAATTGATCAAGAAATACTAGATAGTTCTAGAATCGGGACCTATATAAATTTTTAATAAAGATCCTGAAGCAGTCTAACAACTTGAGTAACTCAGAATCGGCCACAAAGTCTTATTACCATTACCACAAAGATTATTAATTAATACAGGTCTTGTAAACCTTACTGAAAGGGTTAGGTGGGGGCTTCGGAGCCACCTTGATAAAGGCGTCACCTTTACCCGGTTTAAACTCCGACGACGACTACCCTCAGGTCCTTGGCTCCAAGTTATCTCCTCTTGTTTAGCTGAGGGGTAATTATGGTTGATCACTAATCAAATTGGACAAGAAATACTAGATGAAGCTAGAATCGAAACTTGTGGTTTTTGTCGATTATTTTAAGTAAAATTTTTAAATTGGCGAATGGTTTTATTTGTTTTCTACTGATATAGTAATAGTTTATTATAATTTTTATCTTTATTCTCTTGCTTTTATTTATTGTACAACTTGTTAAAAAAACACATACTAGCAAGAAACATTGCGATTGTGTAGGTTAAAATATATTCAGGCGAAGATGGCGTATTAGCCGCCACTTCACAATTATAGGTAATAATAAAAACCACTCGACCTACCGGTCTTAAGATGAACATGAACAACAGGTACGTTGAGAAGCACTATTGAGATTATTGAACATAGTATTCAAGTCTTCCAGGGATTCCGCCATGATTACTATACCATCGGCAAATCAAAGGTGAATGATCTATTTGCCATTAATATTTATACCACATTTTTTTTCAGTCCACGAGTTTGAAAACATTTTCCAATGCTGTTGTGGAGTTTTGATTATATAACGTCATTCTATCTCATACCTTTCTGCATATATTATACACTGATTCTGTACTTATGTTAGCATTAGATTAAACCGAAATAACTAAGAAATTTAATACTAATACGTCTTGTACCTTTTAATAAATATGATGTCTACAATATCAACAAAATGTCTAACTAATAATAATTTTATGCCTAAATTTTATTTTACATACTATTTTTCAACACCTAATTTCTGTTCTCTTACATTTTTTATTATAAATTTATAATAAAGATCCGTCCGTAAGCGGCTTAACAAGTTAAGTCTGATACATTATAACGATACATTAGACAAATAGGTAGAATACTGATTTGTAATCGGTCTATACAAACAAGTAATATAGAAAAGAAGTTGCCCGTAACAGATAACAAAAATAGTTCACTATCTTTTCTTCATAAGTCGGTGAGTACTCTGTCTTTGAAACCAAATGACATAATACGTGTGTTTATTAGTCAATAGACCACAGCGCCTGACAGTTTAAAAATCCGTAATGTGAGTCTGTGGATATTGTACATTATTGTTGGTTGGCAACATTATCTGTAGCTACGTTGCTATTGGCTGCATATGTAAAACTCTTAAACATAGTGCCATAACTTTATATTTAGATAGAAATACGCTTTGTCTAATTTATGATAATTTATTTATTTAATAATTATAATTCTTGTTAATATTATAAATATGAAAGTAGGCTTGTTTTATTTTACCATCTTTATGTCTTAACGATTGAACCAATCGCTATGAAATTAAGTACACACATATTTTAGATGATGAAGATACTTTTTCATAGGCTACTTTAAATCCCGGTTAATCAACATATACCGTTCACGAGAACGAAGTTGCGGGTAAAAACTAGTAACTGATAGAAGATAGTAATTAATATATAATAAAATTTACACTTAAAAGTTTTAACCACTGTTCATATTATTTTTTTTCCGTCTAGTTTTTTTATACACGTAATGGATCATGAAGTAATGAAAAGGTTACTGCAGAAAATTTTTATTCAATACCTCCTCTAAAATTGTTCATTATAATCTTATATATTATAATTTTACATTAACAGTCAGTCATAAAAGTTCTAGCAAAAAGGAAAAAACAGCTCGTGTAATTTAATAAATCTCGTAATCAATGCAATATTATTTTTATCGTCATTTACTATGGTTAAATATAATAAATATTAACACATAGAAACCAAAAAATATTAAAACTATTGTTATAAAATTAACAAATACATTAATAAATAAATTAAGAGTACCACTGAGTACAATAAATAAATGATTATTTTATAGGTATTTGATTTGCAGTTGTGTTTATAAAGTATCTAAAAAAGTAATTTGATACTTATTTGTTTTGCGCATGAGCGGTACAGATGGTACGTACTTAGGTACTTAGCTAGTCGGCGAACTGGCGACGGTCGAGTGCGATCGTCTGTCGGTAGGCAGCTGTGCTCCCGATCGCCCGATTTATTAGTGCGACGTCTTGTCGTAGTCTTCTTATAGTTATCGGTTCTCTTATCGCGTTCACGTACAATAAATACCAACTAAAATAATTGAGCCGGTGAAAAAATTAATTGTTATGAGACGCGTTGCTTCCGAGCCGCTCTCTAACTAGATTACACGCAACAAAATGTAACGAGTTACAAAATATTAGTGTTTTGTCGGGGTGGTGAGATAAATCTCACGCTGTGCCGATCTCGGCGGTTTTTGCGACATTGGACTTGTTTTAAAAGCTATCAAAATAGGAACTATGCAACAATGTGGGTTTTGCTCAATGTTATCCGGTCTCTTGCGGCGAGCGATGTGTGTCAGCAGCAGAAGAGGTAGCAGTGAGTCCTATTACAGAGAGCTCGGTGATCAAGACACTCTGGTAAATATCTCTTCTACATATATTCACCCATCATCTAAATCATGTTTACATGTGCTTTTCATTCATTATATTTTGATTTTCTTGAAAGCAGGTTGCATTTGTTAAGTGTCATGACGGGCTAGGCACCTAATCAACTTGTTTACCTATTTTGCTCACATGTGATACCCTGTTAATTTATGTTTATTTACCACTTTATTCTGTTAACCATTTGTTACATAAATCCATTGTTATTATTGTCCCCTCAACAAATTTGATAAAAGTAAATAGTATTGACCAGGTTAACTTCTGTGATTAAAGTGAAAGTTAAATTTCACTATGATGTTAATTGCAAATATCCACACAAATGTGAACTGTACTTATGTCAATATTTCAAAAAAGGAATAGATAGTTTACTTATTTAACAAAAAATATATAATAAAAAAATAAAGATTGTTAGTAATGTTACCACTTTATTTTAAATTGAAAAAGAAAATATTATGTTAATATTGAGTTTATTTAAATTAATAAAATTATTTATTAGTTGCATTTAAGTTTGTATTGTTATATTTGTCTCTGTACAAATATAATTCAATTGGATCTTTCAAATGATATTATTATTTAGAATTTTTATATCTTTAACTGCATTCCACTATACTATTTTTACATGCTGGACTTAGTTTTGATTGTTGTCTGTGTCAATGTAGGTATATAATCTACAAAAATAACTCAAGTTCTGAAATGAAAACTATAGGTTTATAGACAAACAATGGTATAGTATTTTTGATTCACTATTTATTTTATTTACATATCATTTAATCATGCATTGGAATCATTATTAGAGAATCATTATTTCTTAAATTTGAATTTAGTTCTTGATGGTCCACAATATAATCATTTTATTGACTTGAAAATTGAAACATTAATTCGAGCAAAGAGCATATTCCTTTTTAAAAGGCGGGCTGCATACCTGCAATGCCTTTGTTGTTGTGGGTGACCATAGGCGGTAGTAGTCACTTACCATCAGGTGAGCCGCATGCTCATTTGCACCGTGTTGTAAACAAAATCATAGATAAGTTCTGGGATTGCTGTCTCAGAATCGACCCCGTTGAGATGGTTTCGTAATCCATGTCTAATTTAAAGATAAGCGGGCTTGATGTATCTAGTTGACAAGAAAAAACAATTTTAACAGGCATACTGTACACTATATGTAAACAATGCAATTAGTTCCGTTTGTCCGTTATTATTCTATTATTATTTATTTATTTAATTCTTTATTGTACACATCAGTTATAAGAAAATGAAAAGAGGTAATCAAATGTACAAAGGCGAGCTTAATTCTAATAGAGTTTTCTTATTATTTCCGTTTATAAATTATAATGAATTTATATAAATTATAATTCTTATTTATTAATTGAATTATTTATTACACCTTATTATAAAAATATACAACATTAATTAATTAGAAATAAATGTAGAACAAAATGCAGATGAAGATAAAGACTTTTATAAAAAATAAGTATTAAAGATGATCTTACCAGGAGGGTAATCTTTTAGGGCTTGATGATATATAACAATATCTGTGTATTGTAGTTACAATATATATATATATATATATATTGGACCAATAATGAATTAAATACTGATTATCCAGTATATAATATTGAAATGAAGAAACCCATGAAAATTAATGTTGACTAATTTTGTATTGTTATGGCACATATGGTATTTTTTTAATCATTTATGTTATCTCGCTTTTTATGTATATCTATATATGTTGTAATTTGTGTACTGTAGGTAATGCAAATAAATTATCTATATATCTATCTATGATGGAAATAAAATCATTACCCATATTGTTATCCCACAAAATAGGTAATTATTTATTATATATATATATATACACTTTCCGACTTCCTTCATTATATTACGTTAATGAGTGCAGTACAGTAAGAAAATTGTTGTTCAATTGAGTACTAAACGGATCAGGTTTGTCGCCCCCACCCTCTCTATTTTAATGTATGTATATATATATATATATATATATATATATATATATATATATATATATATATATATATATAGCCATGACTGTTTTAAACATGAGAATTAAAATTAAAAATGAAACTTAAAATCCAACTAACACAAAAGATAAAATTAAATACTCAAAATGCTGAAATAGAAAAAGCAATGAAAGAAAAAACAAGAAAGAGAAATGGCTTAATAATAATATGGATTAGTACTTCAGAGATGAGAGAAGAAAAGGGAAAGACAAAAGAAAAGATAGCAAGATGACTTAAAGACAGTAGCTGGACCAATGCGAAGAAGTAAAGTGTCGGATAGACAACTGTGGAGTTCATCGAACGAGGCCTATGTCACAAGGCAAACTGAGAAGACTGAGCAGTTTATGTCCTAAAAAGGAAATAACATATAATTTGAATGTGCATGTATTATAATTATTTTATGTATCAAATTTATATTATATACTAAAATATTGTTAACTCAGAATAAAAACATTTATTATTATTATTCCCTATAATTTTATTTATTAACATTAGCAAATATATATAAAATTATATTAATATATGTATAATACACAATTATTATTATATAGATATCAGGGCAGTACCAATATTACTCATGCCTACAGTATTTTATCACCTCTGGTTAAAGGAAAACAAAAACAATGATTATATAAAATTAATTGCATTTGTTTATTTTAATTTTATTTACTTAATATTTTTTTTTATATGTATTAGTTTATCCATATATATTAAAAGTAATGTTTATGTATTATATGTGCATTTCTTATGTGTATATTATGTATATTTATATTGTGTATTGCCTTAATGTGTTACTATAATTGTCACATATTTTTCACCACATCTGCCCTTCATACACTTTCTGTTTTTACCCAATGGTTAGCTGGTAGAGAATGCCATATGGCATTAAGCTCGCCATTTGTACAAAGTTTTATTGTGCAATAAAGAATAAATAAATAATATAAACTGGGTAGTGCAGCTATTTAACACACAGCCTCATCATCCGATGGTGATGGGTTCTAGTCCTGCATAAAACAAATTCATGAGTTTATCATCTGTTCGGATTGGTCCAGGTGTTTTATATGTATGTATATATTTACAAAAAAAGTTTGAGTTTTTGATACTAGATGATGCTGCATGATATCATTTAATCAGCTGTTATTTGCTCACTGCTGAACATACAGCCTTCCATAAGGGGAGTTTTGCCAATAGCTGCCATGTTGTATGATGATACCATCATCATCATTTCAGTTATTATTAGTCCACTGCTGGACATAAGCCTCCCTCATAGACTGCCATAAAGAACAGTCCTGAGCCACCTGCATCCACTGACTCCCTGCAATGCATTTCAAGTCGTCACTTCATGTAGTGGGGAGTCGTCCTACACTGCGTTTACCCATACGCGGTCGCCATTCAAGAATATTTCTTCCCCATCGGTTATCCCTTTTTTTTTAGTGGGTTATAATGGAATGGTAACCCCACCCGCGCTATCGGTATACACCGGCGGGGCACCAGTGTAGGATGATAGGTGAAGATAAAGGAGGTCGGTTAGCCCATCGTGACGAATTCAACAAGAATTGTTCACGATGGTTTCCAGGGGGAACCACGTGGAGGTTGACCTAATAGTGTATATTGGGGGGAAAAGGATTGTTAGCAATGGAGTTTGACAGCCCCATTGCTAGTAATGGGGACTTTAATCTATATTGCTAGCAATATATATCAGATCGACCTCCACGCGGTTCCCCCTGGAAATCGTCTTGATTAATTATTGTCGAATTAGTCGCGATAGATCAACGAACCTGACGTCATCCTTACCTATCATCCCTCACTGGTGCCCCGCCAGTGTATACCGATAGCGCGGTCGCGAGTTACCATTGCATTATCATCCATTTAAAAAAAAAAATACTAATTAAAATAAATTGTTTTAAATAAATGATTCATTGTTACATAATTCTGTTGTCAACACTAGTTTGTAATATTCTGCAGCGATACAGGAAATTGTGTTCGAATTACCCATTATATTATGTCTAATTTATTGTACATACATACACAGTTTGCTTCTCATCATTATTAAATAATTTTACATAATCATATCCCATAACTATAGTCCATCATCGTCATTTTACTGCCCTTATCCCGCATTGGGATATTTAAAATTATTATCCAGAGGGGTTTTTTTTTTATGGGTGCAAATGGAATGGTAACCCCGCATGCGCTAACGTACTGGAGCATTCGAGTATTCTGACACTTCCCTATGGTTGACTGGGAGAGAATGCTTTTAGCATTAAGTCCGCCATGTACACATATTTGTACTAATGAATAAAAAAAAAATAACGGTATACGCTGGCGGAGCACTAGTGAAGGGTGATCGATGATAATAAAAACAGGCCAATTAGCCCATTATGATGAATTCATCAGGAATTAACCATGATAGTTTCCAGGGGGAACCGCGAGGAGGTCGACCTGGTATATTGCTAGCAATGGGATTTTTAATCTCCATTACTAACAATCCCTTTCCTCCAAACAACCAGAGGGGCTTCGACCCTTAAAAAATACTAAAAAATGCCAAAAGTTGGTACCAGACGATTCTGGGGTGAGCACGGTCTTCCCCCCCCCCCCTCCTCCTCCTTTAAATATGCCTATGATCATTTGGATTTAGAAACATAATATGTTTTATTTTTCCATTCTTCTCCACTCCAAGTCATATGCAACATTAATACTTTTTTTTCTATTCAGAACACCCAAACTTTTTAGAAACCAATTTGACTTTGAATTGTACATTATTCGAAACATCAAATGCTAAAGATTCCGATGCTGGGAATAAAATAGGAGAAGGGGTGGAGGTGCCTTTGAAGTGATTTATCGCAACAAATGGAGCCTTTTTCGCGGTAAACATGTAGACTTGTGTCATCAGGGGGTTAAATCGGACGAGATTATGGTCACCTGAATTAGAGACCCTTCAAAAGGAAATCTCAATGTCAG